CCTTTAGGAAAGTTTTAATCGAGAAGAATTCTGGACATAAAGAATCGTCTGCACGTCCGAGCGCGGCAAGTTTGCAATCTGCCGCCACGAGTCATCATCATCAGAGACGCTCGCGATCTGTAAAATTGCCATCCGTACAGAATTTGCATAATTCAAATTCGTCGGATAAGGTCGCGAGATTTAAGGACGATCGAATGGTATTACCAGACGAAATGCAGCCTCCGAAAACCAGATTTATTTCTCAAAGCAAATCAAAAGAAGCACACTCGACTTCGTCGCCACGACTCAAGAGTTTCCCAGCCGAGGAGATTAAGAAACTTGACAATCCACCAATGTTCTCGCCTGAGCCAATCGCCGCTTTAATTGTGCAGCAAGATCCTCGAGAAACCGGGACTTTTTACACAAATTCTTCTGCTAGAAATAATAACGGGCATGGTGACGCAATTTCTGTTCAATTATCGCATCAACAATCAAAAGTAAATTTTTAAGAGATTCTTTAAACTTTTATATTACTATACATTAACGCTATGTCATATAAAATTAATTTACAAAATAATAAAATTTCGTAAAAAAGAGAGATTATATCAGTGCAATCTACATTTTGATTAATTTTATATATTTACATTGATCTTTTACCAATAAACTATAAGTTATATTATTAAAATTTTTACTATTTGACTTTTATATAGTACAGAGATACGCTAAAATAATATTATCAAAAAATTTTTATTAATGCATAAATGAATAAAATTAAACAATTTTTATTAATAGAGTTTATATTTTGTTAGCCACAAACTACATGTAGCACGAGTCAGCAACAGGTTGTCGCTAACCATCAGGAGATTTGTCAAACGAATCCGCATTCTGAAAGCTTACTGACTCAACGAATCGCGTCTCCCGAAAAACAGGCGCACCGTCCTTTCGTACCAAATATCCTCCAAGAAGCAGTCATCTACGATCGATCACATCGAATCCCATCCGCGATAATTAATCAGCCGGTAATTACACAAACTCCTTCGACACGAGTCGCTATGCCGCAAGCACAAGAATCTTCGAGCGATTCGCGCGCGGTTGTCGACCAAAATCGCAATGAATCTTCCATGCTTGAGAACCAGTATCAGAAGCAACCGATCAGTGACCGAAATGCAGCCAATTACAGACAAATGTACATGCAAATGCAGCAACAGAAACAAGCAACAATCGTACAAAATGCTAATGTATCACCAAATGATCAGACTGCGAATAATTGTCAAAATATTTATCACGCTCAGTTTCGTGCTCCATTCCAACAGAATCTACATCAGATCAATCAGCAGACACAACACAGCGCGTATAATCAACAAATGTTGCCGCGAGCGTTCAATCAAATGCAGCCAATATCCAACCAGCAACAACATATACCCAACAATTCAGGAATACATTGCAGTCATTACAATCAACAATTGCCTATCACGCAAAGCTCTGGACAAGGAATGACTTCTCCGCAAGACATGACGGTGAATCAGATGAGATTAATGCGGCATAATTTACCTGTCCGTCAACAGAATCGCGGATACCCTGTTAGCTTTCAACCCGCGTGGCCACAAAACGATAGATGGATGCAAGTTACAAATCAAAATCAGCAACATTTGCATCAGCAGTTACCGTGGCAGTATTATTATCAAGCGCACGATGCCAATTTCAATCAGCAAAATTCTGGTAGCCAAAATCAATCTAATCCATCACAGAATCAGGCAAATCATAAACTTATTGATCAGTCAACCGCGGAAGCTCATGGTCAACAAAAAGAAAATAAAACATTGCACTTTACGTCTGACATGATTCGCGATCAGGAACTGCTGGTTTCCACCATGAGGCAGCAAGGTGTACCTGAGGAGGTGATGCGTCGTCAATTTGACGCGTTACTGAATGAGCAAAAAAGACATCTAGCTTACATTGCGCAGTTTCAACAACAAAAATTAAATATTCCGGAAGAGATAAAGAGGAACCGACTCGCTCGAAGAAGAACAGAGAAAGACGAAAAACCGGAATGGATGATACATATCACGCCACCGCGAATATCGTACAGCGATATTGAAAGAATGAATGCACAGCAAAGAGCTTTGAACGAGCAATATCTGATGAACGATAAATCATCAGGTAAAATAATAGCTGATCAACAAAGAAATTATCATCAACTAAAAAAGGAGGAAATATGCAATCAAGTTTCGCCTCAGCAAACGTATGTTCAGATGAATCCTTATCAGGTATGGCAAGCGGCCAATTGGCCATATAGAGATGATCATCAAACATCATGCGGTCATACCGCCTGTTACCCGTACAATCATCAGCAAAGTGCATCGAACAATGTATGTCAACCAACTTTTAAGTATGCGCAATATCCAAACATGCGTTATAATCCGTATTTTCCGCATTCTGAGTCACAATATAATCCAAGTTCATTGAATCCGCTTGACAATCAAAGAACATCAATGGATCCCGCATACTTTTACCAGCAAAATAGAAAGCCTACCGAAACTTCCAGTTTACTGAAGATGCGAGTATACAAGGAAATAATCTGTCCTCAAAAGCGCAATAACGGTCTACAAGATCCAGATAACATTCAGAAGATGCTGGAGGCATTGAAGGATCCGACAAGTAGGAAGGGTCTCGAGTACCTTGCCAATTTGGCCAAGAGGAAACCTATCGTTAGATTGAACGGTATTCAGAATTCCAACGAGATTCCGGAAGACATGCAACCGCGACCATCCACAGAAACCCCCTCGCAGTCTCAGAAAAGAATCCCGGCAAACGGTTTGGAGAACAGCAGAAATCCGAACAATCCGCCTTCGCGTGTCCTACGACCTAAAAAAGCCGACGAGCCTCTAATGGCGGAGTACCCGCGACAAAGGCAGAACGCGAGAAATTGTTACAGCATGATGCAGGCTGAAAAGGAGAACGGTACGATGGCGACTTTGCAAAACCAAGGTGCATTTTCCTATGCGCACGGATCAATCCCTTACGATCGGCAGAACATACCTATCGCGCAAGGATGCCACGGCAACAACAACATGATCCTCCAATACGGAGAAGGTGCTCCACCTCGGCATTGTCATCAGATGCAGCAATACTATCTCAATGGGCAAAACCTGCCGAGTCACAATGGCGGACAGGGCGACGTCGCGTGTATACAACAGCCGGATGCACCAGGCGCGACGAGGATCGATCGCGCCGGCGGTGATACCGGCGAGAAATCGAGCGCCGAAGAGGCAATGAAACGTATAGGTGTGCAAACGATGCAGGCAACGAATGCTTACGGCCAACCGGAAATCCGCGAGACAAGGACCATCGGAGGTATTACGTATCTCGCCAGGAAACCCGAGTGTACCCTCAACAATCTCGTCGTTTCGCCAGACAGATTAATCGCGAGCGAACACATGCAAACCCCGAGAATATTTTAGCGAATATTTCAATTCTCATCTTACAATTAAGCTCATTTTCCACGATTAAGTTTAATCTCCAATTTCTTGTGTTAGAAGTTTATAAGGTAACTATGTGTCTCTCCTTGTTGAACAAAATGTATGTGCGTGTGATAGTATTCTTTAAAATTAATCTTTTTATATTTATATTTATATTTTATATAACAGGGAGTGCATTATTTTTTACATTACAATTCAATATCTATAGTTATAAATTAAACAAAATTAAATAATAGACTGCAAAATCACTCGATAAAATCTAACATGAAAGTTAAATACATAGTTGCATAATCAATTTGATCTTATCTTTATGTTTAAATTGTTAAAAAAAACAATGTGTGAATATGACAAATTCATTGTACAATGAGAGGAAAGTGTAATATTTTTTTACGTCAACGTATAAACATGTAACTTCGAAGTTTTATTTTTCTATTTTATTTATACTATGTATTTTTTTATGTGAATTTTATTTTTTTATATTGCGTTGCGTATATTTCAAGCATAAAATACTGTCGAAAAATGTAAAACTTTTTTAAAGTATAATAAACAAATTTTTTTAAATGTCCAATCTTATTCAATCTTATGCGATAATGGATTAGTATTATTATTACGTATAGAAAACTCTTAATCAATTATTATAAAAATTGAAGAAAAACAATAATTGGTATTTTTCTTTCAATTTAATTTATGATAACAATTTGAAGTGAGCAATATATAATGCGAAATCGATTATTAACCGTACTGGAGAAGAAAATCTGTTTGTCATTGACATCTTTAAATTTACCGGTATTAAAATTCAAATAAATTAATAATTTATTCGACATGGATAGATGCAAACAAAAGCGAAATTTTATGGACGAAATGCACGATATCATATGTGAAATAGGAAGTTTGTAAGTAATATATTTGTGACTTCTATATATGTATATATAATTATACATTCTGGTAATTACTGAAATTATAGATTTATCAGATAGAATATCCGACCAAATAAAATCTTCGATACGATAAGAGAATTTTCACGAAACACAAAATATTCTCTCCTTTCTGTTCGCCAGAAAGCCTGAGCCTGAAGTGTGCAATATGAGCTGCCCTCCTCTAGGATGTCCCCGAGGACCCTGTCCGGGGATGTGTTGCTCAAAAGGAATCTGCGATCCCTGCTGCGTGTCGAAGATGCCACACGGCCCATCGTCACTCCGTCCACCTCGTTGTTACATACCACGATGTTTAAAGGACTATGCATGCAGCGCGGTTCGGTTATCGTCTTGCGGCTCTTCATCGACAGACATAAATTGAGGAAATCCAACTACGGCGGTTGTTCCAATATCCTCATGATCAATCAGAATTCCGACGAGCCTTCCATCTTCCCCCTTATAATCTTATCTCAATTGTATTGCCTCGTACCGTTGGATCGGTGTTATGTTGGAACGCGTAGTCGGGTCATTCGAAGAAATAATATCTATTGCTTGTATTACGAAAGAGTATTTCTTATTCCATTAAAGAAATTGAAATAAAGAATCCGGATTACTTAGAAAAATTGTGCATTTTATTCTGCTTTTCTCTTATTACGGCTCCATTGCTCCATGATTTTTATTTAGTCGGATATTCTAGGTAATGAAACAGTAATTTACAAGAGCATGTAACTGGAAGATACAAAATGTGCTTCTTCCAATTAGTGTAATTGCATTATTTCATTATATCTCTGCTTTTCTTAATAACATTATTAAAAGTAACTACCTTTCACATAGTTACATAAAAAAATTATATGTGTGCTTCAATAGGAATATTTACATTTTTTTGCAATGTCCAACATTTCATCAGCTAACTGTAAAAATCGATTTTTGCCAGATAGTGGTATATTTAACTATTTTCAGAGCATGTTATAATGTCGACAGCTAGAAACATTATTTTAATTAAAGTCAGCGATTGGTAAAGAAGACTCGCTATACTCTTTGTGAAAGATAATATAAAACATTATAGAATTTTAAACATAAAAAATGGATAAGAAAGGTAAAGATCTAGCCATATGTTACCCAACCATACATAATTCTGTGGAAATATTTGCGGCTATAACCGGCGAGTCACGCGATCAGATACAAGTTAGTTTATAGTTTGATATTTAAAGCAAAACAGTAACAATTGTAATTTAAATCGACCGTAACTGGCAAACAATAATACAATTTATGTTTGCAACGTTTATCAATTTGATTAATGTTCTTGCAGTACAGCATGGTCCCTTCAAAGTACATCAATCAGATGTTAATGAGCACTCAAGAAAGGATCAATTATTTGCTGAAACCAGGCCGCAGTATAAACGTACGATCTTTATATGACAATTGTGAAAGTCACTGCTTTAGAGTTTCGCCCAGCATTGTCGTCTTTCAACGATTCATTCCTGGCAATTTATACACTATGACACTCACGATTCGAAACGTAACAAAAGTAAATCTTCTCTATTATAAATCATATACCTCGTTAATATGTAACCAACATGTTACGTCCTGTTGCATTAACTCTTCGCGGTTGATCTTATAATATTCACGAGCTTAACCCCGATTCCACTTTCTAAATATTGCATCAAAGATGTCACGGCACCTGAAGCTCTCGCGCGACCCCGATCTTTTCTTTTCCGTGGAATATCACGGGTCGAATTACAGCACTATGGTAGCTCCAGGACTCGTTCATATTTATAACGTCAGGTTCAGCCCACCGGAGAAACGGGATTATGAATATCGTGTCGAATTTATCAATGATACCGAGATCTTTGCAGTGCCAGTAATCGGTGAGAAAGAAAATTAAATTGCAATTACATTACGTAACACGAAGGGTAATAGAGGCTAAGTCGATATTGTTATAGCTATCGGCCCGAGACCTATTCTAGACATTCCCGATCGGATCGAAATACCGGCCACTGCGGTGAAAATTCCTTCCTCGAAGACTATTTTGGTACGCAACATAGGAGATGCGCCGGCAATCTTTAATTTTTGTTCAGATAGGTATATTATTTAATAAATTGTTATATTTTTAAATAAATAGAATTTTATGTACAGGATTTCAAATATAATTCATGTGTACGTTTCTTAAAATATTTTTCTAAACATTAAACAACTGCACCGAAACGACTTTGGATCTGTACATGAATGTTTTTATAATTGTCTCAGTCCACGTTTCTCGGTCGAACCGTCAAAAGGCATATTAGGGGAAGAAGAAACAATGCAACTCACTGCGAACTTTTTATCAGAGAAATCCGGCGATTTTGAAGCAAATCTTTTCCTTAACTATGAATCAGGTAATACGATAGTTAATTGTACAATATTAATTTTATATAAATAATAAAAAGAATCTAATAAATCCAATTTTACAAATTATTGACAGGAGAGAGGCTCTGCTTGACATTACAAAGTTCAGCAATAAATTGCACAATTCGAATTGACAGAGGTAGTATCAGAATGGAAAACACTTATTTAGGCTTATCTAGAAGTAAAGTTCTAACGATCCACAATAGAAGCGACTACGTCGTAAGATTCCAATGGATGCGCTTTAAAGACAGCGATACCGATGTACAACGCAAAGAAGAGTATGCAAAAACAATTATTTTCCGAATATAAAATTTTCATTTTTTTTTGTTTCAGTGATTTCTCGATTTTTCATGGCAGGTACGAAAAACTATTTCAACTAGTGCATAGTATGGAGGTAGTACGTCGCGTCAATCTTGTCCATTACAATATTTGCCTGCCAGATATTCACGAGCTTGTCTGCCAGCGAATTTACACGGACGAGATTGCTTCGTTGACGAACGAGAATTTCCGCTATAATCATATGTCCTTCCTTCTTACGCCTGAGGTGATCTTTTGTGATAACTTAGCAGTGCTTGATAATGTTGTATATCTTAATTATATGACAGTTCGCTTATTAATTTTTTTTTATTTGTTGCTTTTGTCATTATTTAAAATATATCAGAATATGTCAGAAATAGCTGTTTAAATAAATAATTCCTAACGTCTTTCCTACTTCTAGGAAGGCGAAATTTGGCCGCAATCTTCGGTGGACATTACTGTAATTTTTCGAGCCATGGAAGTAGGCGAGATATCGAGTGTCGCTTATCTCGAAGTCACGGGTCGCGAGGACAGGATACCCCTGAGGTTACAAGAAAACTAATATAACGTTATCTTCAGAAACTTCCTTTTGCCTTGGAATTTTCTCGCTAATTTTGCGTCCCGTTGGTAGCCTTCACGGAACTGGCAAGGGACCAGTTTTCCATCTCAACGTGATCACTATCGACCTTAGCAATATCTTCCTGTGCTCCGTGCACAACTACGAGGTAACTTGGTAAATTTATTTAAATATAAGAATGTTATAAAAATTTATGTGGAGAACTTTTATGTCACAGTTTTATTGAATTTTTTAAATGTCCTGCTCTTTTTGCATCGCGTAATTAAAATTAATATGAAAATATTTGCTGCAAGTTGATCCTATATGCATTTTATTTTTATTTTGTCTTTCGAGTAGATAGATATAATTTTGTTGCATAACAAATTATTGAAATCGGAATTAATTGCATTTCAGATTGTAGCAGCAAATAATGGACATATCTGTGGTACATTGGTTCACAAAGCTAGACCGACAGATTTTGGTGGCATCATTAATATTACTCCACGTGCTTTAACATTAAAGCCAGACGAGTATAAGTCATTTAATTTAACATTCTCTTCAAATCGGAAAGGAGATTTTATAGAGAGAATCGACTTCGTCATTAAAGAGAGCTTAGAAGTACTATCTTTGCACATCAAGTAATTACTTTTGAACTTTGCCTGCACCGTTACCAAATAAAAATTCTGCGACTTTCCGAATTATTGCAAATTTTTATAATAATCGCGAATATTATTATGTAAATACGTATTAATTTTATCTTAATTTTTTGGAAAAATCTCAGACTTTATTTTTTTCTTTATTCGTAAATTCGTTATTAATTATTTCTAACGTCTAATATATCACAACAATTTCTTCTGATTAATATTGCTCAGCACACGTTATTATAAAATTTCTTTATTTTATAGAGGATGTGTCGTATGTCCAACGCTACATTTCGATAGGAGTAGCATCGATTTTGGCACAACTGCTTTAGGTATATCAACTACAATAACGAATCCTTTTCAATTAGGAAAACCGTAGTTTCCTAATTGTACCGTATATGTATTTGTAGGATTTAGCAGAAAACAGGAAGTAAGTCTTCGTAACTTATCTCTGGTGCCCGTCACGTTCGGTGTAACCATAATAGAAGACGGCGATCAGGCACCTCTGACTTACGAAGAGTTTGCTACGTCCGAAGTAAAACCAAGTTTCCCGACTAACCCTCGCGAATTTACGATTATTCCGCAGAAAGGAGTGGTACAGGCACATAGTTCGCTTAAATTAAAGGTAAACTGTATGTTGCCTTTGTAAACACACAACTCGTTAGTGTCTGCACGTGAAAGCTCTAATTTGCGTCTTTTAATATAAATTTCACATAAATATGAAACTTCTTTTTTTCTTTCTTCACATAATTATTTTAAAGTTGATATTTTCATTTAAATAACTTGAAAATAATTTTAAAAAATTTAAAAATCGTTTTATAATAATATAAATCATCTCTGTATTAAAATGTAGGTATCATATATAGCGAACGTGGTTCGAACTGGACAGACGAATATGCGAGTCGACATGTGGGATTCAGATTCGGATCCAGTAATACTACCGCTCTCGTTTTGTGGCGCTATTTCTTCCCTATCGATCAAGCCCGCGGAAATAAATATTCGATTTTCCTTTATCAACTTTCCGTATGCTCGTTGTATCAATATAGAAAATAATTCCGATTTAGATGGATACTTTTATATAGTACCGCAGACGGTAATTGTTAAACTAATTTCAAAAGCTAAATTTGCACATATCGTTTCGTAAATGTGATCAGGAAATTTGTTTAAAAGTAATATGATTATTTTAAGCTAACTATATTAATATCGTTCTCCAGATATCCGAAAATATGTCTATTGTATATTCACTATCATCCTATCAAGGTATTTTAAAAGCACGACAATCGAAGGCGATTGATGTCACGATTATTACAAAAATGTTGGGCAGGCAAACAACAACATTAAGGTATAATAATCAGTTTAATAAACTTTGAAAAGTCAGGAATATTCAATAATATGATTCGATAAGAGAAAGAGTTCTGTTCAAAAAAGAAGAATGTTTTTAAAATTTAAACTTCTAGAAAAACTCTAAAATTTTTGTATATTATTTTACATAATGTACTTTTTATTATTTTCTCGATTTCAGTATGCTGACAATGGGTGAACAGGTTCCCATTACGTCTTGTACGATTATTTGTAACGGCCAGGGGCCAGTAGTATCCGTACAGCCTATTTGTCTCAATTTCGGAGAGATACAAGTGCTTCAAAATAAAGTTATGAATTTTCACATAATCAACGACTCACCGATACCAGCGCAATTTAAAATAACATCAGTAAGTGATTTTCAAATTGTTATTGTAAATAATAAGTTTACACAATGCATATAAAATAAAAATGCATAAAAAAGTGTTACAAAAATTTTCTTTTATTGTTTAGCCTAAGAAAAAGTCACCATGGCTCGTTGAGCCAACTTTTGGTGAAGTTGGACCGAATGAATCTGCGGAGATTAAAGTCAAACTATTTTTACGCGACACTGGTAAATACACTGATAATATAATCGTGCATGTCATCAACAGTCGGTCGTTTTCCGTTAACATGATTGCGACTGGAATCGGTTGCAGCATCGTTTTCGAGCCGCAGATATTTCCAATATTCGACATGGGTTTTCTCTTTAGGTAAAGCAGAATATTGATAAAACTTTAACTCGTTTTAATAACGAGGTAGCAACAAGAGTTATTTTTAAAATATTTATTATAATATTATGCTTTTAATTGCTTAATTTTAACAGCCATCAAAATCTAAGTTTGCCAATAACTATAAAAAATTTTGGCACGCGTCATTGCCAAATAATATGGTCAAACGATCCAGAAGTGCGCATTCAAAAAAGCCAGACATGGTCAAAGTAATTGCATAGTCACATAAATGTATATTTTAACTTTAGCTAGGATACTAAGAACTTTTTGTTACAATAGGAAGTTTCAAATTGAACCGTCTATCGTAGAAGTTCCAGCTGATAGTTCTAACGTAGTTCAATGCAAAATATGTTGGGATGTGTAAGTTTCAATTAGAATTTTATCATTTATTCATTTATAATCAAAATATTTCATATTATAAAGAAAAAGAATCTTTTTATAATTTTTATGATTATACCTTATATTATAATTACGTTTTTCAAATATTATCGTAAAATATTTCTTTTTACGTTAAAGAAATGAAATCTTAACAGAAGATTGGTACATATTCGAGCATATTTTTGGACAAGGGAAGCGAAAATTGATTGGAACCTCCACATTTAAAGCTACTTTTACGGAGCCACAGATTGCGTTCAACAAGAGAGAATTAACGTTTTGCATTGATATATGTCCCGAGGGAGAGGAGTTGCAACAGACAGGTAGAAAATTGTATACTAACATGTTCGAAACTATTTTAGAGGAAACTATCCGGAAAAGTTATGCAATATAATATTCCAAAGGGTTCCTAAGGTACTTTGGCGTCAAGGTTTACTACGTGTGTGACAAACAATTAAAATATTCATATTATTTAAATTAAACATACACAGTTTCGTATGACATTATACTAAATGAAATAATAATAATGTTTTTAATTTGTTGATTTTTAGACGAACTGATAGTGACAAATCAATCGCGATTAAGTTTAAATGTTTTATTGTACATTGACGCTCCCTTTTATTTGATGAACAATAAGAAAAAGTTTGTGCATAAAAAGAAAATCGTTCTGACGGACGGAACTACCACGACAATTCCAGTAAAATTTTCGCCAAATATAAATCCCGATAATCCTTATTCGCGAAATTATAGCGGCGTGCTCTGGTTTGAATATGACGAGCATCCTAATAAGGTACTGGAAGATATACATTACAAAATCGATTCGCGTAACGCAAGAATTGTGTTCCTATCTAATTTCAGGACAAAATTCAATGCAAAGGTGCGGTAAATTTCCCGAATATTACGTTACATCGCAAAGATTTGTTTATTAACTGTGTTTCGGGGTCAACCGCCAAAGAAATGTTAAAGATAACTAATAATGGACCGATTCCTGTGATATATAAATTTCTGTGGGCTGGAGAGAGTATTGAGATTCAACGTGGAGCATATGATGTTGTAGTTGAGTTGCATCGAAATATAAATACGAAAAAGAACAAATATCTTATTATTTGTTATAGGTTATTTCCAAAAATTTTTAATAATTCTAAATGACTAACGCAGCTTACGCTTTTTTGACAGAATTTCGTAAATTATTCTCAATTTCAAATTAACACAGAAGACGACAAATTTAATCCCTGCTCTTATAAGGTCAAAAAAAAATTGGAGACTCAAGAAACTGAAAGTGAATCTCTCGATTTATCAACTTCAACTTCATATGGTATATATTATCAGATATTCCTTATTAAAAAGATATTTTAATATTAAAATTAATTTACATATTCTTTTAATATACACTTATTGCAAATTATTATTAATTATTAACAATATTTTATATTATTAACAATCCAATTTAGTTCATTTATTGATTTAATTCCAAAATTTTATTTTTTACACGCATTTTTTCACATCAGAGCTGCAAGATTCAGATTCGGAAAATTTGCAAATGCAAATTCAACCAGAAACGCTAGACAAAACGCTCGAAAAATTAAGAAGTATTTTTATGTCAACGACAGAGACATCCTTACAGTGCCTAGATGATCCAGAGATTCTTGCTCTAATAGATCCCAATCTCGAGTCTCCTTCAAAGGAGTTACTCGATGATGTTCGTTCTCTTTTCCCAGCAAAATTTACTTTAATCAAATTAATTTCTATATTGCATGTATATTATAGACTCTCAGTTATTTAAAAATTATATTGATATTTCTGCAGTAAACTAATATGTTGAAGCTAACCGCAAAGCTAATCTGTCTCCAGATACTTGATATCATCCCGCACGAAGGCATTCTTGTCCCATACTCCTCGCAATATGTGCGCTTCATCTTTCACGCTTCCGAGCCTATGCAAGTCAAAGTTGCTGCGCTTTGTGAAATTCTTCAGGGACCTACTGAAGTAATTAATGTGTTTGCCAGCGCGGACATCGTTCGATATTCCGTTGACAAACAGGTCATCGACTTTGGTCAACAGGTAAATCATTTTTCAGTTTTAACAATTACGGCACATATTTTTTTTACATGAACCTGCATTTTATTTGTATTATAACAGTATAATTTTACTGTGTAATTATTAATTTATTAGAATTTGTATTTGTAAGAGAACTAAAAATCAAATAAAAAATTAATTTATGATCAGTTAACTGAATAATTCAATCTATTATTTCACTTATTGTTAGAGTTAGTTTCATATTCAATTTAGTTCAGTAATTTAATCTATCGATCTATACCACAGTTATTCAGCGAACTGTGTCGGTCAAACATTACTTTGGAAAATCATAGCACAATATTGCTGAATTACAAGATAAACAAGAGGAATTTAATATCCAAAACAAGCAATGGCGACTCTACAATTGGCGTATTAATAATCGAGCCGAATAAAGGACTTATAGAGCCTCTATCGTCATTGAAAATTACGATCGAATTCCAACCCATGCTACTAGGCGCTTTCGAGATAAAGTTTGAGCTGCAAGTGTGTCACGATGTAACTAATCAAACTTTGCGATTTTTTATTTTTGTTATTTTAGAAACAATAATTCTGAAAATTATTCTATGTAAAAGATACAATTCAAACTAAAATTACAGCGTATCGCATTATCCTTACTATCAATATTTATAGGTGGCTGATGTAGATCCATTGATAATTATTGCAAAAGGTGTTACAAGTTACCCACAAATTTATTCTTGCATCTCGCGCGATATTTCTAAGCAATATTCTACGGAACTGGGATACCAGGCGATCCAATTTCTGAATTCGGATTATATCACAATGGTATAAAATTTCATTCAAAAAATAATGAATAGTTACTTCCATATTTTGCGTGTATGTCTTTCTACATTACAGAAAAAACGAGAAATAAAAGTGCAATGTACTGTTGACAATGACAAGCCACAGAGTCAAATACCCGAATGGGACGAGAGAATCTTATCAAGTAAGATGGAACATAATTAGATCCTCGATTATGGTATAATAACAGAACATATAATTAAGAAACGCTAATAAGTTTCTAACAATTTTCATTAATTATTTTTAAGATGAAGGATGGAATTTAATTTCGTACGAGGAAATGTTTCCCAGTATTATTGACATCGAGATGTCAATTGACAGACTTCTGGCGACTCGATTTATCGAAAAGAATGGTTCTATCTTGATAAAACATCCCATTCCGCATAAAAACGCTGTTATTCCTTTTCTCTATGCTCCTAAATATATCATAGGTATACGTTTATATACCGCGAAATATCGATTATTGTCAAATTAATTAATTCCAGTTAATTACATTCAAATTGACTACGATTTGATCTACAAACAACTACGAAGCAAAATTGACAGCATTAATGAAATAATTAATAATGCAACAAATGTTTTCAGACATGGGTTACATTGCGATCGATCTTAAAACGTGTTATTCGACAACGATCGTCAATTACGGGCCTTGGAACGCGGACGTTACAATAAAAAAATTAGAAAAAAAGCAACTGGAGAACTCCGGTATTCTCGTGCAATTTGAGAAAGCAATGTTAACTGTCGGAAAAACTACGTGTCTGACTGTTACATGGCAGCCGACAACGGCAAAATATACCGGAAGAAGCACGAGAGAACAGCATTCGATTTATTTAGAAGTAAACTTAATTTTTTTATATTTTGTCATTTAAATAAATGACAAAATTAAATTCTATTCAATTGAAATACCTGCATATTTAAAAATTGTGGTGACATATCTTATCAGCGATTTAAATATAAAAATATCATTAATTAAGCTAAATATATTATAACCTCTCGATTATACAGGTATCCCGCGGTTCTACCATTCCCGTAACTATAAAAGGCGTCATTACTTATCCATTCGTGACTGTTAATACGAAATTATTAGACTTTCAAAATGTCATCGTGGGTGAATGTTTAATGATGAACGTTTTAGTGAAAAACGAGTAATTCTCTCATTTTCATACATTTAAAGCTTTTTATAAGCAGACAGATATATATATTCTAATTTTCAGAGGCTTTATTGATTGTTGTTGGGACGCAAGAATATCGACCACTCGTAAAAAACAAGAAGATTGCCCATTTCATCTGGACTATAAATCTAATCTTCTTCTGCCCAATCATTCAGACATCATCAATGTTTATTTCAAACCGCGTAAAACGGTATTAGTATAGCTACATGCCGTTGCATATATTTATAAAATTAAATTGTCTGGATGTTACATTCGTAAAGACTTATAGGATCTAAAAATTTTTCATCTTGTTCTCTTAAAAATGCCAATTATTTAGTGTCGCGTGGAAGCGAATTTAAAAATCTTTGTTAAAATGGGTCCGGAAACGCAAGTAGTAACATTGCTTGGTCATGGAATCGAGCATAAACTGCGAATAAGCGATCTCGACATTAGTTTCCCATCCACAATTCTTTTTACCGAGGTGCAGGAAAAAGTGTTCACGATTGAAAATACGTGCAATTACCCCGTGGAATTTTTCTGGCATCACCTCGACAGGTAATCAATATCGTGCAAAAATTAATTTAAAAGCAAACAAGAGCAAAGTAAGAAAAGACATTAAGAAAATTTTACGTATTTGTGAAAATTATCCTAAAGAAACATACAATTATATTTTTTCATTTCGCGATTAGTCTAAAAATAAAAGTAATGAACGAAATGACATGGAATGTATTTTATTGAATAAATCAATGCGTTGCAGTCTTTTTCTTGAAGAGGAGCGAATTGCCGAGGCACTGACTCGTTATTACGGAGTTAAAGAAATCCTATTACCGCCTCGAAAACTTGGAGAGAGAATGCCGTCGTCTTTAATAGAATTCTATAATAGCCTCATGAGCGAGATGGCGTACGCTATGTCGGTGGAAGCAATCGAGGAAAAAAGTGTCACTGCGCTCAACGGTACATATATTAAGAGTACTTGAAAATAAGCTTCCTCTTTCCCCGATTACAATTTTTAACTGTCACGTTGCGAGAAAACGTTCTACAAGAAAATAACTGTTGCTTTAGTCAGCGACATTTGCAAATAATTTGCAAATATATGATTAATACATAAATTTATATAAAGCAATGTATAATTGACGTTTGAGTAGACGACGGCAAACTTTTAAACGTGGAACGCAAGAATAGAATAAGAACAAGAAAGAAGTCGTCTAGTACATCGAGATTATTTGTCCAACAATTCCCGACTCGACGAAGATCGAAAATAAACCTGCAAAAAGATTTTAACGTCGACAGACGGAAACGGAAGAAGTCGACCGGGTATTCATCTACTTCCACGGATACTACAAAAAGAGATTGCCCATCTATGTCAGTTCTTAGCGAGCTCGACTTTCCTCACGAACCTCCGATATTACCAACAAGCGATCCCAAAGAACTTCACAATCTGCTCCTCTGTGAGCAACTTTATTCCGACGATAAAATTTATTACAGTACAATTTTTATTGCATTTATCGTTTTGATAAAAGTTATGACTTTTTGTATCCTTTTTTATTTCTAAGGCTACATAGAGACTTTGCGTAAAGATCCCAGTTTCTGCGAGAAAACAAGAAATCCCGTAAAGGAGCTGTTTGCTAGTCACGAAACAAAATCGATTCCGGAAATAGATTCTTCGCAACCGGCCAAGAAAGTTTGCATTATCTTTCATGGCGCGCCGTTTACCGGTAATTTCGCATTCAATAAACACGCAAAGAAAATAGTTACTGAATTGCGTTACTTTAGAATATCAAGAAACCGCGTGCAGAAGCGCTAAGGCATTGCAAGTGCCACTACTATGCATAGACAATGTAATTATCAAAGGTATCGCGCTCGGCGACAATAAGGTTTCCGTCAGGTTGCGACAGATCGTCGACGACGCTTATCAAGAACATTTGTTAGCGTTCGAGAGACTACAAAAGTAAGTAGTAAATAGTAAGTAGTAACTACAAAATTAAGAAAAATTTGAATTTTTAAATAAATATTTTAAAAAGCCTTTATTTAAGAAGAGAATTCTCCACTTTTTTAATTAAAAACAAAAATAAATTTCAAATTTATTTCTTATCTCAGAGATAATTTGAAAACTAAACTGCCGGCAGCAAAGAAAACCAATGTCGAAATCGCGGAACATGATCATGGAACGGTCACAAAGAAGGAATCTCCTAAACTAAAAAAATCACCAAAAAGAACTAAACCTGATTCAGAAACCACAGAAATCGATAGATACTCGGAAAATGATGCTCCGCCTCAAGAATTATTGATTTTACTTGAGACGGAATTCGCGAAGATTCCAACAGAACAAGATTTAAAACTTTTAGATCCTATAAGTCTTTATGAATATAAAATTGAGACAATTTTATTATTGCAAAGAGCCTTTCCACGTTATGCGACAATTGGACAGAAAATCAGTGAGAAGTATCAAGATGACACTTTCCTCGGAATTGAGATTGACTTATTAATTCAAGTTCTTGGTGAAAGGTAGTATTTGGCGTATGCATAAATTAAATAAATTAGAGTTATTAGAGATCTCTTTCACATCTTTTACATATTTTATTTAAATAAATATATAAATTTAATTAATTAATTTAATTAATTTAGTTAATTATGTGTGTATATATGTTGAGAGAAAGCACTATCTTCTTTAATAACTGTATAAATATTAGTTCTATAATTTATCTTTTTTTATTATAATTTTCTGTGCATATGTTTTGAACTCTCTTTTTCCTAGTCTTTTTTTTCATACTTTCTTCCTGTTCTTCTTTATTATACAACAAACAGGTTGTCATCACCAGATTTCGAGAGCGGCTTTGTATTGCAAACTTTAAACAATATTTTTTTCAAAAACGATGTTACGACGCTGCTCACATTACTCAATATTATTGGACACATAGAATATTTATTGTTTGTAACTTTTCTGAACTCAATGGATACTTATTCTCGAAAAATTGAAGAATTGCAAAAATTAGAAGGTAAGTTATAATAAAGAAATTAAATTCCAAAGTATTGAATTTTTACGTTAATTGAAATAATTCATTGAAATGTTTGAATAAAGCAAAAAGATTAGCGGAAGAAGTTGCTAATAAAATTCAGAAAATTGACGAAATGTCATTATCGGAATATGAGCTACTTCCAGACGATGACAAGAAGTTTTATTTAGAATCGACTTTACCAATAAAGAAACAAGAAGCGCTGCAAAGACGAATGCAATTTTTACAACAAATAACGGAATTGAGAAAGAGAAAAGTATTGACTTTAATTTAAGTTTATAGAATTAAGTCTATACATTTTGTACATATATTATTTAAATTTTCTTTAAAAATTTATACAAAAAATGTACGTATTATAATCATTAATTTTTTTATCTCGTCTTTTCTTATCAATCTTGTCAATTATGATTTCATAATTCTATCATCAGTATTAATGTAAATGTAATTATACTTGTGATGTTCAAATTTCTCATCGGTAATCCATATTCCACATAAATTTTCTCAGGAAGTATCTAACGTTCAGATTAGTAAAAATAAAAAAATAAATAAAAAGATAAAAAATGAAAAAGTCAGCAGTCGAGAAGAAAAACCCCAAACTTCTAAAGCTCTCGCCAACAAAAAAGAAATTCAAGATCATAAAGAGCTCGAAAGTATAGGTATACGAAATAATATTCACATCAGTAAAACAAAATATGGAGCAATTATAATAAAATGAGAGAAGAATTTTTACTTTACTTGTAATTTTGTAGTTTCAGAAAAACAGGAAGTACCAATAGAATTAGAAAATATTGCCAATGCTATGAATGACTATTACAGCCGTCTCTCAGCCATAGAAAACATTATAAAAAATTGGGATCCTCTTAAAAAAGCAAATATCCACCAACATCCTTCATAATTTTAACTCTTTCTTAATAATATTTAAAAACGTTTATTATCATTATATATGTTATTGCCATTAATTTTTAGGATACATTGTTCACGCCAAAAAGCAAAATTTTAAAGACTGATAGACCAATAGATACAAAAGACAAAAATTCTGATGTTAGTAAAGAGATATGATATTTATTATAAGCTTTAGTTAACGATTTAAAAAATGTTTATAAATTTCTATAAAATTAATTGTCACTAAAAATAACTTTATTATTTATTATTCTTTATGTAATACTATTTCTCATATTATCCATTATATACATATATGTAAAGTAATACTTGCATTTAGAATATAACAAATAATTTACTACACACTCTATATCTTCAAAATTATTTTAATAGACTTATACGAATGGGTTTCATATTTGGTACGTAAATGCTTCGGATCCATGGAATCGAGTGATGTATGACGTAATAGTAAATCAAATGAGCTTAGTTAAGAAAGCTCTTCGTAAGTAATGCATTCATTTCCTTAAATAAATTTCTATAAAACTTACAAAATAATAATATTTAAAACTGTTAAACTGTTAAAGCTATTAAAATCGTGCCGACATTGGATCTTGAATCAAAAAAATATTATATTCTTAAGCCACGAAACATAAGAAAAAGGGATATTGAATTTAATGGCAAGTGTACTATTAATATATCTTATGATAACATGTAATAGGTATATTAATCGCAAAGTTGTATTAATCGCGGTCTTGTTTTATTAATCAGAAGCTTTTCAAATTGTCTCATTATCTGTACTATCCAACCCCATGATTACGGAAACCAATTCTTCGCACACTAGTGTGATTAGTAAGAAAGATAATTCGGTAAAGAATACAAAGCGCAAGGAGCGTATCTTCAACAAAAATAAAGAACCATTGACGGTATCGTTAAACGCATCTACGGTAGACAGCATGGATACTAATGCATCTAATATTAATACAATCTTCGAGAAAGTATTAAAACCACGATGGATTTTGCAACCTAACGAAATTCAGAAATTCAAGATTCGATATCAACCCGAAGAAATAGGAACTCACCGACAAACATACGCGTTATCCATCATCGATGGCAATGATATCACTTATGATATCAATGTTTATGGCGTCGCAGACATTCCGAGACTGGATATGAACCCTAACACTATTTTTTCAAAGGTAATAACGTTTCTTATATATAATATTGAAATCCATACAGAAACACATAATTAATTATTAATAATTTAAATTAATATTAAACAATTTAATAAATTACTTATAATTTCTATTAAAGTATTACCAATGTATTTTATAAAATTTTATGAAATTAATAAAACTTGTCTCAGATCAAAGAAACAAAGATGAACGATATAATCGACCCTACATACTTCTCCGACGTCAGTATCTATGATTTTGGATCATTACTGGTGTTTCAAAAGGATGAAAGGTTCGAGCTAATTCATTTCATCATTAACAAAATTCATTATAAATGTGTAATTTACAAACAGAGCTCATCGTCGTGAAGCAAAATTCAAGTTCTGCAATGTATCCAAAGTTAATGCAGAAGTATCCTTCTCTCTCCAGGAAAATAATCCAGATATTTTTATTATAGAACCGGAAAGACTTTATATTCAGATATGTTATTTTCTGTTATTCCATTTAAAATATATTTGTCACTAAATATGCAGAAGTAAAAATTATTTGTTGCTATTTAACTTATAGGCTGGACAGTGTGAATTGCTAAAAATATCGGCAGGTGTTACAAAACTCGGTTCATTTACCGATAAGTTATATATATGTATCACAAATAATCCGCACATTGAGACAATCGAGGTAATTAGATATAAGAAGAATAAATTAAGATACTGTATTATTTACATAAAATAGAAATTATTAAACCCGAAATATATATTTTAGCTTCAATGTAATGGCTCGAAGTTGAACATAGAATTTGAGGGCAAACAGCTATCTTTTGGCCAAGTGCTCTTGTACAGAAAAAGCTTTCTTTCTTGTTTTATCCGAAATAAATCTCCGATTGAAATATTCTGGCATTTGGATCTTAATGAACCATTAGATCCTCAAATCTCAATTACACCGACTAAGGGAATTGTCAAGGCCCAGAGTGATCAAAAAATTGATTTCTGTTATCACGCCAACAAAGTAAAAGACCGAACTTGTACTAAATATACCAATACTTATTACTGAAAACGTTAATGTTTAAATTTTATTTGATTAGATGTAATTTTTTAATCTTTTTAGTATAAATATTTTGTTTGGATATTTACAAATTGAATAGTTTAAAATGTTTAAATAAAAATCTTTAAGAGCTAGATTTTCGGTTTAGATTGGAATGATAGAGGGAAGCTTGACTTTCAAAGCTTTCTTTCACGAAGATGATACGGAACCTATTTTTGTGGAAACCGTTACCTTATCTGGCGAAACGTACGACGTTGCTGTTGACATTAATTATGCAAATCCAATTGACTTAAAGATCGTAAAGGTTGGCTTTCCCACGAGCGCAAATTTTACAATAAGCAATCGGGGAAATCATGAAGTTAAATATACGTAAGTAGAAAAATGTATACAACAAATTCTTATATTCATATCGAGGTGTTATCATTGAAATCGTGCAACATTGATGTGTTTTTTATACATTGCAAAATATTCTTTTATAATTTTCTGTAATGTTGTATTTATGATATATTATTAATATGTTGCATCAATTAAGAAATAATTTATGATTAGCGTACTTCTGGAAGAGCAAAACAAATTAGCCAAAATAGCGCCGAATTTGCCAGTAAAATTTAACGAGGACATAGAAATTAGTCCTGCTTCCGGTTCCATTCAACCAAAACAAGAGACTGTTGTACAAGTATGTTATTCGATATATTTCCTCTTAATTACTCGCATCATGACACCAAATAATAAAATAAGCTAATTATTTATATCTTTTTAATATATTGAATTAAATGTTTTGCAATAGACAATTGCAAAATATGTATGTAAATGAAAATAACTTAAACTTTTAATTAAGATAAAACGAACTTCTACTTAATTGCAGGTAACTTTCATACCAAAGAATGAAATTATTCTAAAAGAAAGTCCGTTGCTACGATGCCATCTTCTCGATATGAATAAACAAGCTGCTGTGATTGCAGAATTTCCTCTCACAGTTTCCTTAATTGCATATTACACTAGGTGGAATATTATTTAAAGCTAATTAACAATTTCTCTAAATCTTGCAAAAATTTAGAGAGAGAAGTATTCTTTTCATAAGTTTATTAAAAGTTACATTATAACGTAGTTATAGAAATGCGAGTAGAAATGCTTTTCTCCACTTACTTTTTTTAATAAGACTTAATAAAATGATTATAATTATTCAAAATTGTATACATCATTATCTATTTTAAATACAGATTTCGCGTTTATCCCTACAATGAGATAAATTTTGCCTCGCTTGGCATATGCACGAAAAAAACGTTGTATCTTAATGTGGAAAATATTGGACAATACCCTCTTCACTACTCTATTAAAACAGCGCCTATCAAACATCCATCCGTTGGCTATATGACAGAAATTAAGACAGAAAACACGATCAAAAAGAATCATGATAAATCGACAGATACGTCATCGAGAAAAGATAAATCGCGAATCGAAAAATCAGATGACAGGTACATTTTTAGAAAATTCTCTCTTCGATTAATAATTTTATGACATATATATTAAGATATATATCGATTTATCGAATAAAGTTATTTTATTTTTATATTATTTAATTAATTCAACTAAATTGAGTGTTCGAAAGAATAATTTTAACATCATTATAGATAAAACATGTGTTTCAATTTAAAAATATTTAATTATTCTTTAGGAAAGTGAAAGACCTTGCGGCTATGTTAAAAATTGGCCCCTTTACTGTGAAAAAAACCGAAGGAAACCTTCAGCCCGGGGAGATCGATACCATAACAATCGAGTGTTATCCTGAATTCGTGGGTTCTCAAGAGGAAGATATAATTATTCTCGTGCCCGATAGCGTTCCCGAAGGCAGAAATGGCAAAATAATAAAGCTATCCGTTAATTCCTGCATACCCAGCATCGATCTTCAAGATCTCGACGCTATATTTCACGAAAATCACATTGTGGATTGCATTAAAGACTTTACTTGTCCGAAAGAAGTATTTAAATTCCTTCGACAAGTCGATTTCGTATATTCACACTTTAAATGAAAATAAGATTAAGAGCTTACCTTTTGTTGTTAGATCGGTGCACATACCGTATTCGCTCGTCAAGAAAAATGCCTGTACTTTCGTTATGTCAGTGTGTTCCACACCCATACGGCGTACCTCGTGCTTCACAATCGGAACGTAATACCCGTCGACGTGGAACTGACCATACTCACTGATTCATTTACACCGAAAACTATGAGACCTGACACTTTCATTTTAACACCCGAAAGAGAACGCATTCCGCCAATGAGTCACAAGAGATTCGCGATTTCGTTCAATCCGTCGTTTATAGAGGTAAGGTTATCTTTGTTTTCAAGAAATAAATTTTAGAATTAAAGATTAATATACTAATTTGTATGATTGATATGTTAAGTAATATATCTCACAACGCCAGATGACAATGAGCAAATTACAATTAAAGCAGCGAAAGATTTACATCTAACCTAACTTAACCTATAACCACGACGAGAGATTTATTCCATTTATTCGAAGGATTATTGACGAAATAATTATTGTTCGTTTTCACAACGAGACAATACTTATAATTCGCGTGCAATATCTAGTTGATTCCTGTTTTTAATAAGTAAATTGCTCGATAACCTGCTTTGACAGATGTAAAGCCTCAATTCGTTTACGAGTTGATAATCATGAAAATTATAAGTGCGGAGTGATAATCACAAATTCTAATAATTGGAAGGAATAACGTTGAGCATCTCTTTTAGCGTCATTTACTCGTAATAATCATATCTTGAAAAGTATTATGATATAAATTGGCTCGCTTCACTACTTGCTCAAGCGAAAATCATTGATAGCGATATAAGTATAGGCTTCACGTACGAAACATGTGCCGAATATCAAAGCCGCGTGTCAGCTTACTGTAGCTTACTGTTATTGTTTCGAACTTTAAGATGTTCGATGCGCGTGGCAACTATTTAATCGATTCGATAATTTTTATGTTACAGAAAGTATCAACGCGAAAAGGAGCATCAGCTTTGCATCGAGGGAACACGAGAGACATCCCGAGCAACCTGAGAGGAGGTGGAGGCCTGGGACTCCTGAGAAAGGCATCAGGCGCCGGCGGAACAACATGCGGTAAATATAACTAGTTCATATACATATTGTGTTTCGCGGAAAGTTTAACCAATCGGTTTTTCAATCGAATAGTAAATAAGTTAATCACAGAGTAGAAATTAAAAAAGAGTTATTTCCTCACGCTTCCCTACGCTAAAACTCACCGACACCGATGCGCAGCAGCGGAGCTGTATCTGCAACGTGATCGCTACGATGATAATTCTGTAACAATCAAACATATATTCCAGATTAGAGCAGGGAAGAAAAGAGACAGTCTGTATTTCGAAAAATAATTACCGAACGTAAAACACGGAATTCTATATTTTATTTCGTTAAATCAATTTAATAAGAAAATCACTTTAATTTCTTGAAAGTATACTCTATTTATTGAACACAAGAATTTGAAATGAAATTTAAAAATTAAACTCTTTTTTAATTTCCACTCTCTGACTAACTTTACTATTTGATTGAAAAACCGATTGGTTAAACTTTCCGCGAAACACAATATGTATAAACTAATTATATTTACCGCATGTTGTTCCGCCGGCGCCTGATGCCTCTCCCAGGCCTCCACCTCCTCTCAGGTTGCTCGGGATGTCTCTCGTGTTCCCTCGATGCCAAGCTGAAGCTCCTTCCCGCGTTGATATTTTCTGTAACATAAAAATTATCGAATCGATTAAATAGTTGCCACGCGCATCGAACATCTTATTCGTTATTCAGATTAATATTCTATTAAGGAGGTTTAGTGGCTACAAAAAAATGCAGCCATATGTTGTTGTGGAATGCAAAATAGAATTATGTGAATTTTTTGGGAATTTTTCAAAACGGGACGGTGAAAAATTCCCAAAAAATTCACATAATTCTATTTTGCATTCCAGAACAACATATTAAAATTTCATGAAACTGGCTGCATTTTTTGTAGCCACTGAACTTCCTTAATGCTTTATAATATTCACACTGAATTTTCACCAATTCAAATTAATTTGCTTACTGATTGCAAATTAAAAG